GTGTGGCGGGGGGGGGAGTAACACTTGGGACAACCAAAAGTGGGGTAGATAGTCATGCACAATGTCATGTAGCAGATTATCTAGCAGTTTTGATAGTGATGTATGTTATAACACATAATCAGAGTTCTGTTGATTGGGTAGCAGGAACTTGAGTAAAACCAAGTTTTTGGTAAGTTGACTCACTACAGCCTTTGGGGTTGTGTCCTATAAATATATATATATATGTATGTGTGTGTGTGTGCGTGTGTGTGTGTATGTATATATATATATATATATATATATATATATATATATATATATATATATACACATCTTTTGTAGCTCCTCTTTCAGCCACTGGTATTTTTTGAGCTTTTTGTGTTCCTTCTTTTTGATATTGCTGTCACCTGGGATTGCTAAATCTATCACTACTGCCGCCTTCTGCTGTTTGTTGATCAACACAAAGGCTGGTTGGTTGGCCATCACCAGTTTGTCTAGATCTTGTGAGTACTACAGGATCTAAGCTCGTCATTCTCAACTACCTTAAGAGGTGTCTTTCATTTTGACCTTGAGATTTCCAGCCCATACTCATGGCAGATGTTTCTGTACACAATGCCAGCTACCTTCCATGTACGCTGTTCCTGCCTGCATCTTACACCCTGTTGTTATGTGCTATACTGTCCCAGGAGCATCCTTGCACAGTCTGTACCTGGGGTCCTGCCTGGTGTGGTAGACCTCAGCCTCTGTTGATTGTGTACAGAGTGCCAGTTCTTGTGCCACCATGATTAGTGCTTCTCGGATCTTGTTCTTCCCATTCAGCTGACTTTTCAGGACCTGCCTTACTCTGTGTAAATATTTCGCTGTGGCTGACTTCCTTGCTGCTACCTCATGGTTTACGTTTGCCTGCGGGATCCCAAGGTATTTGTAGCTGTCCTGGACATCTGCAATGTCTGCCTTCTGGTAGTTCAACCTCCACGGTTCTGATAATTTTCTTTCTTTTTGATACCATCTGACCACATTTGTCAAGTCCGAATGACATTCCAGTGTTATTGCTGTAGATCCTGGTAGTGTGGATCAGTCGATGTTTCGCTCATTCCTGGCATACAGTTTGGTGTCATCCATGTAGAGGAGGTGATTGAGAAGTTCTGGCTGAGGGGGTTCCGGCCTATGCAGAACAGCAGCGGTGATAGTGCATCACCTTGGTTAATGGCACACTTGATGGTGACTTTTTGCAATTAACTTTGAGTTGGCTTTGAGTTGGCTTCCAGACATGTTATAAAACAGCCCCATTGAGCTCTTGATGAAGGCTATTAGTGCCCTTTTGATCTTGTACATTTACAAGCATTCCAGTGTCCATGTATGTGGGATTGAGTCACAAGCTTTCTTGTAGTCAGTCCTACTCATCTTAGCCGCTATGATGCCTGACGAGAGCTTCCATGTTGAGCAGAGGCAGGTTATTGGCCAGTAGTTGGAGGGGATTTTTCCTGTCTGGGTATCCAGTATGATCAGGACTGTCCGTCCATTGGTTAACCATTCTGGGTGGGTTCCATCCATCATCTTCATACATGACACTCTTTCTTAGATGTCTTCCATTGTAATGGTTACTGGGTTTTGTTCAGGGGGATTACTGTGATCTGTTCTTAGATCCACTAGCCACTGAGCATTGGTGTTATGTGATGCCTTTGTTTCCAGTGCCTCAGGTACAGACTGTATCTTAGGTACACCTAGCACCTTTCTATAACTCTGAGAGCTGACTAACTTCTCTCCTTGTTACCTTGATCTTGGCCTCTAGCCTTCTCCTGCATGGGGGATAATGATCTTTGTGGCTTACGGTCTTCATCTTATAGCCACAAACCAGCGTAAATTAGCACATTTGTCTTGGTTATGGTTTTAGTAGAGGTAGTATGTAGTGCTGCATTTACATCTTCCAGCAGACTTTCAGAGCAATTTGTGGGTTCTATCTTGGTGATGATCTCAATCTTTGTTGTATCTCATGAATCTGTAGTTTTGATAGCAGTTTCCGCTTGCCGATGTTAGAACACTGGGCTAGAAGTTGTTTCTTTTCCAATGTCAATGTTGGGTTGATAGTAGTGTATATATATATATATATAAAGATAGATATAATGAGCTTTCCAGTAATCTAGTGTATATCACTTTAATCACATGTGATTAAAGTTCATTCATCTATGTGATGAAAATTCTTTCCACAGGTTTCTCTATAGGGAGCTGTCTGCACTAGCGTTTATGATGATTGACAATAAATGCCCATTACTTCTTGTTTGTGTGTGTGTGTGTGTATACGTGATAACATGCGTGTTCGTAAAGTCCAAGTCCAGAGCTGAGAGAAAACCTGTCAAACTTTTACCGTACTGTTAGACACTACACAGTTATACTGTATACCCTTCATAATGCATATGGCTCACTCTCTCTCTCTCTTTCCCTCTCTTTCTATCTCTTTCTCTCTTTGTCTACCTCCTTGTCTCTAGCTCTCACTGCCATTTTTATTTCTTTTTGATAATAGTTAGCTGTCAGCGTCTGGAGACTGTCTGGTCCTGTGACTGTCTAGGGTGCAGATTTGTATTTTATATTCTCTGAGGGGACAGTATGGATTGCTATATATTCAGTAAATACACACACAATCAGTACACACTCTCAAATGTCCCTTGACAGTTATGGCTGAAGGATGTTGGCAACAGGTGTGCAGTTGGGACGCTATTCTGACAGTGCTGGCAGATGCACACACAACAACAAATACACACAAACAGTGTGGGGAAACTGTGGAAAATAAATAAATAAGCTAAGATACTGTGTGAGAGCTGGTGACAGGAAGCCGGTCTCGCAGGGCACTGTGCTCCACTGCAGCTAATTAACCCCAGGAAATAATTGCAACAATATGCAAATGCTGTTTAGATAATTCAGTACACTGCCATGCCAGGTAGTCAGTCACTTTGTTGCCTGCCGCTGAGGGTGTACGCAAAGAATGTATGATGTTGTGTGTGTTTGTGTGTGAGGTTGGGTGATGTAGTCAAAGTAGAGAGGTGACCGTGCCACCACGAAGACATCAGCCATGAAAAAATGTTTCTTTAAATTATTGTTATAATTATTTATATATAGTATAGAAATAAATGAAAACACTCATCTGGTCCTCACATGGACAAAAAAGTATTATTTTGTCAGTTATCACTTATTGCAACATTTTGTCCGTCATTTGATATCAGCAATTTGGAAGTATTGATTAGGTCACAAACACACACACACACACATGTACAGTACATGTGCTATGTACAGTAACAAACTCTGCATAATGTCTCCATGTCAGGCATTGTCACTATAAGGTGGTTGGAGAGGTGGACAAAACAGAAGAGAGTGGTGTGAAGGGGGAGAAACAGGTAAGGTGGAAGAGAGGGAAGGAAGGATGGAGGGAGGCAGGCTAATGCAGTGGGCTTCACAGATGAAGGGTGACACAGGCAGGGAGACTTCAAAAGACTTTAATGTCACAGCCTTTCACACAGACAACTCTGCTTCAGCCAGCCCCTCCATGCACGTAGGATAACACACACATATGCACACTAGCACATGCACAGCAATGATGGCAGAAGGGCAGGGCAGAGTGGAGTTGCCTGCTCTTGCATCACATTCTTTGAATGGAGGTGGGTGCTGACACTACAACCCCCTCATGCTAATCTAGCAGTAAACACAAACACTCTGACAGGTTAATTTACCTCTAGACAAACAGCAACAAAAAAACACATCAGCACATCATCAAATAGGCTAGTATTAGCCTGCACACACACTTGCACACATACTTGTACACAGATATGCGTAAGCAAAAACATCTCATCAAATCACAAGCTGCCTTACCTCTTCTAAAAGCAAAGTTTAAAGCATTTTTTGCAACATGTTCTACACAGTCTCCTCAATTACCACCTTTTGGAGAGCGAATGTTGAAGTAATTATCTTTCTGTTATAATGTAATATCTAACTTTGTAAAATACAGTACATTTATGGAAACTAACAGGATAGTCTCTTAAGTCACCTCCTCTGTCCTTTACCTCATATCACTAATTATTTGTTTTCGAGTCACATGGAACAGTTTGACACTCAATTAACAGATGAGCTTCCATTCTCTATAGGCCATGTCTTTGTTTATTTCAAGATATTTTTCTTTATATACATCTGTATACCAATTAAGAGAAGTATATGTGTGTGTGAGTGTGTGAGTGTGTGGTGGGGGGGGGGGGGGGGGGGGGGGGGTACAGCATTGTGTTGTGATTTAAAGATATATGTGTTTCTACTCGACAAAGCTCCATGTGTAGCGTAACCTGTTGTTGTTGGTTTTTGTTGTCAACCAGACAGTTTGATAGGAAATCAAAGTCTAGAATCAATGTCACAAGTTCATTAACAGATGCCCTTTTCTCGCCTATACTTTTACAATTGTTCTTTCTAGCCCTTGATAAGCATTTACATCTCTGGTTAATTAAACATGTCTTCTGGTTGCATTATGTGTGTGTCTGTTCATTTGTGATCGTGTGCATGGATACAAAACTGTGACAGACTGTGTTTGTTTTGTATACACGTATAAATCTCATCTTTGTTTTTTTTTCTCCTTTGACCTTCCCCCAGTGTCTTCCCATTATACCTCTACTGGTGTATAGACGGGCCATCGATTCAGCAATAGGGTACAAATTAAGATTTAAACGTTACGTCACCCAGTCTATTGAGTTTTACATTTAGGGCATTTGCAATATGCAAGACTTATTGATCTACTGAAGTGTGGCTCTTTATAGAAATCACCTTAGGCCACCACCACTTTTTTGTTTCTCTTTTATACCTCTCTTTTTGGCTGGCCCCAGGATTCAGGTTTTGATGTTGTACCATTAAAATTCTAGAGAAACTCTAGACTCTCTCACTGGATGGACACATATCTTAAATGTTTTGTAATTGCACTGCATTTCAAGTTTGTATGTTCTATCAGTTTCCTTTGTTTTAGATATAACATTAGAGTTTTTTTTGTGTTGCAGGAAAACGGTTCCTCCGAGGAACACGTGCTGTACGTGTGGGACCACTTTGTGTCCAAAGCCGCAGCCAAGAATGTCTTCATCATGGCCCATAGCTATGGAGGGCTGTCTTTCGTTGAGCTGGTGAGTGTTTTAGTTTTCCACTTATCCTTCCTACCTCCCACCGACAGTAAGACACACCGAGAAACACAATACGCTTCTCTCAGCACAAGCACCCACATACATGTCCATGTTGGAAACTTGCATATTCCAACTCTTATACAAACTAAAATTTAAGTTTGCAATTCTACAGGTAATTTTAACACCCATACATGCACTCAACCACAGCAGTATACACAAAACAACATATTGTCAAAGACACAAACACATATATACAAACATGCAGAGCAGTACGAGCACCGGTCACCTCAGGGAGACAGGCAGCAGAGTGATAGTGTGTGAAACATGATGAAATGATTAAAAATATATAGCATTTAGTTTCTTCAAAAAAAGCATTGCTTTTGTAAACTATCTGGTTCATCCTTATCCTTGGGCACTTTCCACCTCCTCTACACATCAAGAACAAGAGGAAAACGGGGGAAAGGAGAGGGCTGGATATAGAAATGTAGGGATGGCAGTGCAACAACAGTGGTACTGTTAAAACATCTGATGCAGAGCATGCAGATCTCCCAGCCTTAGGAGAGACAGAGGATAGGTTGAAAAATGGTGGGAGGGAAGTGGATTTGAAAGAATTAATGGTGCACAGGGGAGAGTGAAAATAAAAGTTTGGTCAGCCTCTTAGCTTTATAACCGCACCCTTCAGCTAAATGGGCCTACAGTGTGTCTTTTGTGGGTTATATGAAGGTTTCTGAGGTTAATGTTTTATTTTCTAGTCTTTCGTTTACTGTGATGTTCTAGTGGGATTCTGCATCACATATTGATCATCACTTTCTCTTCTATTTGTGTTTTAATGACTAAAGTTACCTAATAATAAAGCTTCAGTGTGCAGATAGCCAATACCAGCATGGTGAGTTATCCTTATCGGGTCAGAATAGCATTTAGGACTCATGGTTAATGGCGGGGAAGTTTATGTTCATACCCTGCTAGCTTACTTGCGGCTTGTTTTATCCTCTAGACTAAGGTGAAAACTAGTGACATATGAAGGAATCAAAAACTCATGCACTGTGTAGTAAATGCTTCAAAAGGGATGAGGTCTTTCATACCATGTTATTTAATACAAAATTTGGATCTTAAGGTCATGATACAGTAACTTTAAACTGAGCATGCACATGACTTATAAGTTCTGAAGATTCAAGTTCAAGGGGATGTGGTGTAACAGATGATATAAAGTTAAAAGAAATATGTACTTGTGATTGATATAATTTATATTTTATATACTATGTTATTTGCTATATATTTAATTAATCATGATTGTCTAAGTGTTTAATTTGCTAATTTAGGCTCATATTCCTACAAAAGATGCTGTCATTCAAAATAAAAATTGGCTGATAAGTTACAGTATATAAAACATCATTGTGCATTTTCCCATTTTAGTTCCAGTGTACTGTAGCTCTATGCAGCCTGATACAAAAAAAGAAAAGAACAACCAAAAATGTAGTTTGTTTTATTACATCTAACATAAAACTGTTGTATTTGCAACTTCTGAAATTCCACAACCACATACTGTATTAAGCTCTGCTAGCTAACATACTGTACTAGTTGTGTTTGCAAGCCTTTCTATGATCTGTGAGCTGGGTTACATTGCCAGTCTGCTGGTTTCTTGATCTGAAGGATTTACTGCTAGACTCACCACATCCCATATTATTCAGGACATATCTCTCCTCTTTTCTTAGGAAGGGAAGAGGAGGTAAGCGGCACAATGACGATACAGCTAGTGGGGGATTAAAGGTGGGCACCTGTCCCACTGGTGATTTCAGGAATATTTTATTTTCTTTCTTTCTCTTTCACCTACTCTTTTTTGTTTAGTATTTTGTAATTTTAATTTGGCTACTAAATATTCATGCAGTGCTTTGTCCGTGACAGCCTCACAATCTCTTGGGCTTTCTTGCTGTGTGACGAAGACTAGCTATTCTCTCTATTTGTCTCTTTCTGCCTCTCTGTGTTTCCTTCAGTCAGACTCTCTCTCTCTCGCTGTCTCTCAATGTGTGTAAAGGCCTCAATGAAGTTCTAACTGCTTTCTTTTATGTGATGTCCTTGTCATGCAAAAACTCTGTTAAAAACACTCATATACAATATGTGTATATATAAATACATAGCACTTAGCGGATGCAGTATGGGGAAGATAACAGACTTGAAAGATCCTTGTGTTCACTTTAAGTGACAGGGTGTTTGAATATGCTATTGTCAGGTTTCCCTTGAGGCCATCACAGCTTCTGGATGTCAGTGTCAAAACTGCTTCACCTCTTCCAACCTGACACTAATACAAACACATATACGCAGTCATAGTTGATATTAGCCACCCTCAATTGCCCACCTGTACCTATCTTCAACTTTGTCTATAGATTTTATTTAGGTGCATTGTTGATACAAAGCTTTCTACTCCAGGCTGTTTGGCTTTTTATCCAAATGCACTCACACTTCTTCTCATTTACAGACACGCCCTTTACAGGATTACTATATATATATGCACATGGGATTTAACGCAGTCACCATACATTTCTTACTTGTTATTGCTGTGTCTTTGTGCTCCCTCCCACATAAGCATGCACACACACATATATATACATGTGCACACCGTCTTTAATTGAGGAGAAAGTGGTCCAGCGGGATGGGATGGGAGGTGTGTGCGCATGAGCAGGCGAGAGGCGAGTGGAGCCTTGCGGGATGAACCATTTGACACATGAGAAGACCCAGAGAAAACAAGCTGTCTGTGGGTTAATTACTACTCCCCTTTGCAGTTAATAAATACATTTCTGATCAAGCACATCAAAAACGCCTGCCATTAATTTCTCCTGCTCGCTAGCCTTGCTCCGGAGCATGTTAGCCCCTGTTTGGAGCGCTCAAGTGTTTCATTGCAATTTGATTTCTTTTAAAACACTTCACAGTGTGTACTGACTAATTATAGATACATCAAAGAGTAGCTAACTGCCTTTGAATGAGAGTGTGAGAGCGAAAGAGAGGCTTGCACTGCAGGGGGAAGGCTGCTTGCTCTTTCTCTGCTTGGCCCCCACTTTTTTTGCCCTTTTCCCCTCTCTATCATTCTTTAGCTATCAGAGAATCCATCTATCCATCTCAGATCACTGTTTTTTAGTTCTGTCCTTCTCTCTTTCTCTCCCTTAGAGTCTGTCCTCCTCTGACATCTGCTTTCATGCTTGGCCAGCCTGCTTCTCCCTGGTCCTCCTTCGCTGTCTCTCTCAGCTGTATAGTTTTAAAGGAAGATGGGTCATGTTCCCCCAGTTGTGCTACTTTGTTTTCAACCTAGTATTCCTATATTCCCTTCAAAGTCTAAGGGATTGTAGCCAGGATGTGGACTGTCTTTCTCTCTGCGTCTCACACACACATACACATGAACTGGCCATACTCCTCTAGCCTCCAGGTCTGCGCTATCCTTTCTTTACCTGAGGACAAAATTTCACGAACCATTCAGAGAGAGCCGGTAGGATAGAACCATACTGAAAGTCTAACCCGCACTAACCTGCCCGCTCACAGAGTGAAAAAGGAACTCTCTCATTGGATAGGACAGGGCAGCATTATATAAGGTCTTATGTAAGAATGCATCTGTCTCCCAGTACACAAATGTGTGGGTGCCAACCAGACAACCAACCAGCCGCCACAACAGCCCCTCAAAACCATGATTACAGATTTTAAGTGAACACATACATACAGTACATGCCTGCAGAATATCTTTCTGTACACTTTCTGTATAGTGCCATCTGTTTCAATCTATAATGAATATAGCTGGTTTTGTCTGTGTCGTCCTTGGTTTCGTGTGTGTAAGTGTATGTGCGTGTTGTGGCTAGGTGTCAGATGTGGGAAGAGATGCTTGAGGTGAGACAGATAGAAATAGAGGATTTCTTCACTCCTTGTGGACTTCATCACTATACCGGAGTGTAGAGGACGAGAAAGATGAGGCACTGCAGGGTGAATCAGTCTGAATCGGAGAAGTTTTACATAGCTCAGAGTTTATAAAGTGAGTGAATTTCCCTGCTATGATTTGGCATCCTCCAGTCTAAATGAGAGGTTTTTATGTTGTATGGTATGGGAAGATTCAAAAAGAACAGTAAGCTTATTAACACTGCTTTGTTTGTGCCTCATCAGATTCACAGTTGAAATAGAGTAGTTTCTTTAAGATTAAAGATTTCTTTACCACAGAGAGTTTTCTAAACAAGTTCATTGCCATTTCTGTCTTGGTTTTTTTGTTTTTTTTAAACTTTCTCTGCATAGTCAGTCTTCAGGCTTCTCACTCCTTAATTCTTTATTGTTATGGATACAAACCCTTTCACCATAGTATGCTTTATGTCCTGTATCGTTTCCTCATTTTCTTTGTCCTCCTAACAACTCCTCTCCCAGTCGTTGTGACCCTTCGGGCAGTGGCGGTGCCAACTATGCCCTCTGTGCAGGACTCTTTCTCTGGCAGTGGTTAGTACAGCCCCATGCCATGGTAACAGCCCACCGAATACAAGGCGCTGTTGAAACACTTCTGTTTTCCGTCTTCACCCTTTTTACATCATATCTGCGGAAAATCACAAAAATGTAATTTTTTATTATTAAGTGTTGTTATTGTACCTGATCCTAATTCTAACTTATATCTCTTTATGCATCTGTATCTGCTGATTTTGACACTTATACACATTTAAAGCGCAGGCATACACATTCATAGCTGCATTCACAGCACGCATCCAACATTCTTTTTTGAATGTTATGTAATGTTTGATGTCAACATCAAATGTTTTAAAGGAATACTCCACTATTTTGAGAAATATACTTTTTTGCCTTTTCATTGTCATTTTTTAAAAATTTCTTGTGTATTTAACATGCGTAGAAATAGGAAATTAGACATTGTGGTTTAAGGTGCTACAGTGGTTAGCTTATGCATTAGAGTTATTTAATGACCAACTGCTGGGAGAAGTGACTGCATGCAGCCTCTTAGAAGTCCTGTCCTCATAGTAAAGTTGCTGGCTTTT